ACTACTACTACTACTACTACTACTACTACAGCCACACTATGGCCCTAGGGTCGACTCAGCCTCTCTAACAGAATTGAGTAGCAAGAATCTTCTGGGGGGAGGGGGATGGTGCATAAGACTGACAAACTTACCGCCATCTGTGAGACAAAATATGGGAGCCTCAATGTCTCACAACCCTATGTGCCTTCATGGCCTGTCATTTTTATATGTTTTACAACAAAGGGCTCATACATATTTCACATTCACACTAGCTTATAGGTTTACACAGCCTCATATACAATGTGTAATGGGGCTTATGGGTAAATTGGCCAGAGCACAAAGGTGGCCATTCCTCTTCATCTAATGTCAAGGTCTACAATGAATGGGGTTTCGCCTCCAAATCTGTTCTATGTTACAACTTTCTGTAATGTAATACTGAATATAAAAATTTAACATGTAACTTACAGTTGGGATGATATAAAATGTTCCTCAGTTCCAGCACATGTTCATAAAAAGACACAGTTTTTCTTTGTAAATTCATTTTGTGTATACTAAATGCAAAAATAAGTATATAAATTAATTTCTGATCTATTTCCTTAATAAACTGTCTGTAAATCTTCATAATTTAGAGTCTTACCATGTAGGTGATGACATTATAACCTTGTTCGATGAGCCATGCCAAGATGCATGATGTGTCCAACCCACCACTATAAGCCAACACCACAGTTCCCTTTGACACATTCATTTCCTGCACAGTTTACATAAGTTCTGAATGTAGAAATATTATCTTAACAGTCTACAGCAGGTTTTTCATTATAGCAGGTTGTTGTAATCGATTTTTATAACATTTAACAACAAGACTTCAATCGTAGAAGTTATGCAGTGATGGATAGTAGTGATAAACATTGCAAATGATGAGTAGATAAGACTTTTTAATGAGACATTCATGGCTTATTTCATGATGTTTTCACTTAATTCGTCTGTAGAGGTAGGGTAACTACAAAAACCTGTTGAAACAGTCATTAACACAGCTAAAATTCAAAGTATTACAAGTATGTCCTGAATATAAGTCTAGAGCAGTGCATTTATACAAAAATTTATTTACAAACAGTTGTTAAATGTCTGAGTAATCTGCCAGTCAGTTTATTGTATGTAAACACAGTAACATACAGCATCAGTGCTACTACTGTTGTAGAAAATGATAGACTGAATGTCAAGGGAAGAGAAGAAGACAGGCAAGCTTTGTTTAAGAGCAGATTTCCTCTAAAAATATTCTTCCATGAAGTGACCATATTTTAAACTTTGGAAGGCATCTGTACAACAAATCCAAATCTGCACCTACAGTTTAGTTCAGAGAGCACTACTCTCAAATGTCTTAATTAGACTAATGGAAAAGCCTGTTGAAATTCAATAGGACTCATTTCTTTTGTATCTTCACCTTTCACCCTCTTTCTTCCTTTCCTTTACATCTTTCATACCTTTAACTCATTCACTCTTATCATTTTGTCAGTGCATTAAGTTGCATCTTTATCCTTCAGATGGCACAGTTTGAGCATAGAGCTACCACCTTTTAAGTACATATAAAGTATTATTGCTTGAGAACTGCATAACATACACCATTAAGATAACACACATACATAGTCATAAACTGTCTCCTTTTACATATGTAGATTTGTAACACCCACTGAAAAATATTAGGTTAAATAAAATGCGAATGCACATTGTATTTGGTAGGACATGTGAAAGTGATCTTTGCCCAGATTTGCTTCTAGTTCATAATTAACTAAAAAATTGGGAAAACCTTTTCTCACAGCTATTTCATTTTTTCTTACACTATTCTCTCAGAAAAGATCAAGAGAGACAGGAAGTCCTGGATGTGAATGACCTAAATCTGGTACCTGTGCTTGCAAGTGATACTCATACGTAGGAATATAGACACCATAAAGACTTAGAAAGTTGTGTGCCTGTCTTCAAGTCATGAAGGAAATTAATCTGGAAGTAACTGTATATGAAAGTCAAAATGTAAGTCCATGATTAAATTTATAGAATGGTAAATTCAGCAACTCTTATTTGGTTTAAAAACGAATTATATTAATTTTACAAACTATTTTGTACACAGTATATCCATCTTTGGGTAAAATACATAAATTACTTAATTGATAGTAATAACAAGAAACAATTGGATATTCTATTATCTTCTTTTAACCTTTGTAGTATAGTGGATTTTCCTACTAGGATCAAAACCAACTTAGGCTCTGCTATTGATAATATTTTTATTGATCTTCACAGACATGGAAATTATACTATATGTCCTCACGTTAATGGACTGTCTGACCATGATGCCCAGATCTTATATATGAATAACATTGTTTTACATAACCGAAATAGCTGTAGGCATTTTGTGAGGAAATTCAGTAAAGCTTCTAGAAATGAGTTCTTGACTCAATTAAGTTATGAAACTTTGGATAGCATATTTGTTGATCAGGATATTGATTCAATTTTCAACTCATTTCTTAATACTTATTTAGAAATATTTAATTTTAGCTTCCCTAAAAAATTAGTTATGAATAATATGAAAATAACCCTTGGATGACAAGGGGCATAAAGACCTCATGTCAACATAAAAGAGAGCTCTATTTGTCCATGAAGACCAGTAATGATCTAAACCTTAAATCCTATTTTAAAACTTACTCTAAAATTCTGTCTAATGTCGTTAGAGCAGCCAAAAATCTTTATTATAATTGATTACTTTCAAATTCTAACAATAAAATTAAAACCACATGGAATATTATTAAAATGGTTACTGGTAAGAGAATCAGTAATACTGTAGTGCAGTTCTTAAATGTTGAAGGGAACTAACTGATAGTAACTAATTAACTGCTGATTCTTTAAATAACTACTTTCTTACTATAGTAGATAAAATTAACAGCAATAATGCTAAGAGTGATCATTTTATAGAGTTTGATATTGATAAACAATGGAGTTATTTATCTCAGGCTTTCCCGACTCCTTTCCCTGAAATTAAACTTAAACTTAAATCTGCTAAAGAAATTGAAAATATAATTAAGTCATTAAGATCCAAAAATTCTATCGGGTATGATGAAATTTCCATCAATATTCTAAAAACTAGCGCACCTGCTGTTATTTCTCCTTTAACTTATATCTGTAACAGAGTACTTTCAACGGGTGTTTTCCCCAATCATTTGAAATACTCCAAAATAATACCATTATTTAAAAATGGTGATAAAACAAATATGATGAATTATAGACCTATATCATTAATTACATCCTTTTCAAAAGTTATTGTAAAGATTATATTTGTAAGATTGCTCCATCACATAAAGGATAACAGTATATTATCCAGTCATCAATATGGTTTCAGGTGTGATTCATCCACATAACTTGCTTCATATAATTTTGAATTGTTTCATTTTTGGTCCGTTACACTATCAATCACAAAGTTAATAGAAAGTCCGTCGAGTGTAACAATTTGTAGGTCACTTCNTCTCACATATGGTTCAATCAAATGTGTAAAAGCAAAAACATTACTCCGAATTACGCTAAGCAAAAACGGATGGAAAGTGAGAATTGATAGTGTACTCAACTATCCTAGCAAGTGTTGTGCTTTTACACGTCAACATATTGTAGCAGCGTCCACACAACAAACATAACTGTGTACATCATAAACAATGACAGTGTTTTCATAATTGTAGTAAGTGCCTCTGATGATGGTTGTGTCAAACCGAAACATGTAAGGCAGAAGTGATAAAGAAGTGACCTACAAATTGTTACACTCGACGGACTTTCTATTAACTTTGTGCTTCATATAACTTAATTAATGAAATATTAAAAGCTTTGAATAATAAAACACCAGTTGGAGGCATTTTTTGTGACCTAAATAAAGCCTTTGATAGTGTTAATCATGATGTTCTATTATCTAAATTGAAGTTTTATGGAATAGTAGGAAAAGCTAATGCGTTACTGGAATCCTACCTTCATGGCAGACATCAAAGAGTTGTAACTAATAAGAAGCGCACTCACTCAAGTTGGGGCAAGATTGTCAATGGTGTTCCCCAGGGATCAATCTTAGGTCCCTTGTTGTTTTTGTTATACATTAATGATCTGCCAAATATTATAAAGAGTAAATCAATACATATTCTCTTCGCGGATGATACCAGTATTATTGTTACGAACTCTAATCATATTGAGTATGAAAATGAACTAAATTTAATATTCAAAAATATAAATGAATGGCTCAAGGCTAACTTACTGCCATTGAATCTTGATAAAACGTATTTTATGCATTTCTCAACCAAGAATAGTATTACAATGGACATACCTCTCATTTATAGTAACAGTCAAATTGCTACAACCGTTGATACTAAGTTCCTCGGTCTGATGATTGATAATGCCCTATCATGGAAAGGACACATTGACTGGCTCATGTCCAAACTGGGTTCAGCTTTCTTTGCAGTTTGGGCTATTAAACCCTATGTCATTAGAATCAATGAGATCGGTATATTTTTCATATTTTCCTTCTATTATGACATATGGCCTAATTTTCTGGGGTAATTCACCCTTCTGCATCCGTATCTTTAGACTACAGAAGAGGGTAATAAGAATCATCACCAATTCTAGAAGTAGAGATTCTTGTAGGGAGTTGTTTAAGAGATTAAAGATTCTGCCCCTTTACTCACGGTACATTGTTTCCATTTTGTTATTTGTGGTCAAAAACAAAAATCTATTTTTATCTAATTCTGAAATTCATACAATCAACACAAGACATAGTAAAAACCTCCATTATCCCTCGTACATGTAATTTAACTGTCTTTCAAAAGGGAACATATTACTTTAGAATTAAAATTTCTAATAAACTTCCACCTAATATAAAAGACCAAGCTCATGAGATTAAAAAATTCCTATTTTTACATTCATTTTATTCATTGGACGAATATTTTAACTGTGACAATTAAAGTTTTGGATTTGTTACGGGTGGTAGTTGATAGCGCTTTATTGTTATAGATGATGGTTTTTGTTCATGTTGTATATTGTTAATATTTTTAACTGGTATGACATTACACAATTGTGATGCAGTATGTAATGTTTACCCATGTTGACTATTTCTATATCCATTGGTGTATAACCATGTAAGGATTTATGGAATGCTGAATAAATGAATATGCTGCACCCAAAATGTGTTGTAAAATTATTCTGAAAGGATAATGGGTGATTGCAAACACTTTCAGAAAAATTATGTGCTTCATTTATGCAAAATGAAGCATACACTTACCATGTGTTAGGTCTGCTGCAACCAACTAGCATCTTCTATAATCAAATCAGTAGCATTCAGGCTTTCTGTAGTTAGTAGCTATTAGTTTTGGACACGGTCAATGTAAGGTTGAATAAATCTGATGCTTTTCTTCATTATTACTACTCCAAATCTATCGGCAGAATGGAATTCTATTACATCTTATTTACATTCACTGAATTTGTAAAGCTTTAGATAATGAAATTTAACCTATGAACTACTACTATCTGCTAGGGCGAGACAAGGTCAACTACTAGATTACTGAAACTGCTTTTAGGCTATGAGGATTACAGTAGTGATAATGTCAGCATATTAACTACCAAGTGTAGCCAATAAAATACAAACTGTTTTGCAGAAAAAGAAATATGCATGGGTTGTAATTTATACCAGATAAATTAAATTGTCTACAAAATGAGCATTGATCACAAGCATACATGGATGAAACTATGATACCAAGAGCCTGGTTCTCTTTATAAAAAAAAGGTCTTTAAGAAACTGGTTGTGAGGATGTAAATTGGATTGAAGTAGCTTTAAATTACATTGAATTGTGAGCTTTATTATGCAGAATCTTCAGATATCTTCACCAGAGTTGATTGCCTGTTGGCATAAAAGTGTTTTTTCAAGAGCACGTCTATCAATTTATTCATTCATTAATACCTGCGTTATTTAACATTTTTTAAATTGCATGTGTTACCTAGTACAGAACAGAATGACAAGTAGCAAAGAATATGCAACTGGCAACAACCGTGTAATGTACTATTTGCCAGGAGAGGTTCAGGAAAGTCACAAAAATCCTCAGGCAGGAAATCCAGCCAATGAGCTAAGATTTAGACCAAAATACTCCTGAATACAAAACAGGGATGCAACCCACTTAAATCTAAGATTTGGTTTCAAGGAAGGGGTATATTTCAAAGGGTATTTTGAGATAAAGTCTTTGTGATACAGGTATCTTGCTTTATTAGACGAATAATGGGTAACAATGATACTTCTCTTTCCATTAAATAAATACAGTATATTCTAACCATAAAGATCAGACTATAATCAAACATATTGTTTACAAAATTCACATATGATAAGATACAAGTTTCATGTACAATCACATCACATTTCAGAATACTGAGTTCATTATGTGACTCCTGGAAAAGAGATCATTATGTATTCACTACAAAACAAAGATTGCTAGTCACCAACTTTCAAAATAATTGCTGCTCCGCCAACATCCAAACACAAATCTTCATGTAACTTTAGTGACAGCTGTTTCCACTTCTGAGGACAAGTAATATTATATTGTAATATTAATTTTTCCGAAATAATGGTGGTGACACACCATCCTGATAATTATGTTGATATCAATGTAATCTATAGCACATATTTACAGAAATTATTTACTTTACAGTATTTAAAACCAAGACACATATATATTACCGCAAAATCTGAGAAACTAATATTTTCTCTGTAACTTCTTTTAATGTCATAATTTATTAGTATTTCCAGAGATGTACTCCCTTCAAATAAGATTTGTTAAATGCCTTTCCACAAAATGACAAAAATAACATATAAATATGCTGATAAAAAAATAAGAGGCATCCTTGTACCTTGCACAGAAACTATGTGACACTATTTTATATTGATACTACATACACAAATGGATATAATCCTGTCTGACAACAGGTGAGGCAAATTATGAAGTGAACTTATGTTATTTCTATACAGACTCCATTGAACACAAGAAATGGAATACACTGCTTTCAGATTTCTTTCAATCACTGTACATACTTTAAGGTATTGTCATTAACAGATAATTTTGCATGTATGTTGCTCGATCTTTGGAAAAATTGCCTAAATTACAGAAAGTAACCTGAAACAATGATAATAAATTGAATGACTAGATATAATTCTTAAATTTGCAAACACCACCAAAAAAATTACAATACTTCATTCCCTGCTTTTTGACCACCACCAACCAAAAACATTTGGATTTGGATTTGTTTATATAAATTTGTTCATTCAAATTTCTTAGTGTTCTTTATAATCCATTAACACAGACTACACAATATAGCCAAGTACAGGAACTGGGTTCTGAACTCCTCCAATTTTTTTTTTCAGAAACTCTAATAAATATTTCATGTACTGGCTTCTACTCAATTAAATGTCCCTGAAAACTAAAATGGCTTGGAATTTAGCCAGGTATGAATATGAACATTCATATCAGCTTTAGGGATTGGGATGGGTCAATACCATGAAGATACTCCCTGCTCCCAGGTCATTAACAAATGCTGATGCATTCTGAAAAAATTATTAAAATTCCATTAACTTCTAAATTATGGCAGTGACTTGAGACTCTGGATTTTGCTCATGCAAATACTGGATTCTTTTTAGACTACAATAACACTGCCCATACAAAATATTCCCTAGGTAATTCAGTTACTACTCACTGATCACCAGAAAAGCAAATAACTGAACCAAGTCCTGATACTGCAATAAATGGACTACTTACAGGAATCAAAAAGTGTACACAGAAATGAAGAATATATATACTTTTAATATTTAAGTAATTTTAATTGCTACATGATATATTTATCCAATTACAGTATTTGTGCTATTTTTTACCTCCAATTTTTAAATAATATTCCAAACAGTTCTTTTCCATTCCTGTCTGCATGTAAGAGTAATAAATGTTTTAATGTTACTGGTATTCTTGTTTTATTCTGTATAGTCAGAGCTTACTAAATTTTTAATGCAAGAAATTTAATGCTAACAAAATTCAGCTAGGACCAGAAGAATTTGCAAACAAAATAATGATCTTAAACTGGGAATTCAGATAATGATTTCACTGATAGAGACGTGTGCATGTGTATGCATCATATAAGATTTAATTTATTTATTTTATTCTATTTACATAATATTTTATGATTTAATTTATTTGTTTTAGTCTATTTACTTATTTTTGTTTATTTATAACTATATTACAGAACATCTTTCAGACAACTTTCTGTACATTTCACATGTACATACTCATAATCAATATCAACAACATAAATTCACATACTTTAAATTTCTGCACTTAATTAATAGTGACAGATGGCAGATGTAACTCTTTTCAGAGCTCTCACTGTTTTACAAAATTAATACATCTGCTACTGGTGGTCTTTCTGCATAACTGGTAGTGAGGGTATACTGCCAAGAAAAGAATGGGAACTTCAGACTGTCTGACACATGTCTGGTCTATGAAAACTGCATGAATACTATACCCACAATTTTTTAATTTCCATCCCTAAAAGCTTTATAAGTAAGTAAATACAGAAATCACCCATAAACAAAAAAGTCCCAATACTGACATTCTTGACCTATATGAAAATTAAAAATAGACATTGTTGGTCTCTTTCATTTCCATATAGAAAATAAAGCCGTGTTTCTTTATAACAGCACTGTTGTTCTTTTTGTAATGGTGCAACAAAATGTAAAGAACACATATTACATTTATGGAAACACAAAACAAAGGCCTATATCACTGGCTTCACAGGATCTTGAACTTATATCAAAATTTTCAGATTTTAGCTGTAAATATCCCAGAGTTCTAAAATCAATATAAAGTCCTAAGAAATCAGTGAGCACTGAGACATTTTAGACTTACACATTAACAATATAACTCATCCATATCAAATGTAACATTCATTTATAATAACTCTTTAGATGAGACAAACAACATAAACTCTACTGGGCTTTCACGTATGATTCTTATTCAGCATATCCATCCAAAGCAGCAAGTATTCTGTTCTGGTGCTAGAGATTTAAATTTTAAACACATTCTTAAATTACATAACAATGTTTATTTCTCAATCTCAGTGATGTCACCAACTATTTGGATTACTGAGTTCTGTGCCATTATGTCAATACATGGCATTTCGAGTATGTCAAGTAAGCACATGGATTTACTGTTACATCTGCTACAATGACAAAGTCTAACCAAGTTACAATAAAACAGTCTATATCTTTAACTATCATATTCGGACCATACAAAAAGCTAAAGTATGGACTAGAATTCTCTTAAACCTATGGCTCAGACTTCGAACACACAATATAATGACACTGCACACTTTCTGAGGAACACAGAATATGAATTCTACAGTTGTTCAAATAGGAAGTGGTCATTTCCTACCATTCGCCCAAAGAGAAAATTTCAATATAAAGATGACACACTAAATCCAGCAGTTCTACCCAAATTTCTATTTTTGTATCAGCAATCACAGTGATCTATGAGATAGTGCATCAGCTATTTGTAAGACTTCTAGAAAGTGTATGATTCAGTTAGGAGGGAAGTATTGTACAATATTCTGATAGAGTTTGGGATGCCCATGAAATGGGTGAAGCTGATTAAAATGTGTTTAAACGAAACATATAGTAAAGTCCGTAGAGGTAAACAGTTGTCTGATAAATTTCCTATCCAGAATGGTCTAAGACAAGCAGATGCTTTATCGCCACTCCTTTTCAACTTTGCTTTAGAATATTCCATTAGGAAGGTCCAGGAAAACCAGGGGGGACTGAAATTAAACGGGACACATCAGCTGTTGGTCTATGCCGATGATGTGAATCTACTGGGTAATAATGTAGATACCATAAAGAAAAAAACACAATAAGTAAAGAAGTAAACACAGAGAAAACTAAGTATATTTTGCTGTCTCGTCACCAAAATGCAGGGCAAAATCATGACATAACGATAGGAAACAGATGTTTTGGGAGATAGGATGGGATGGTATGGATTGGATTGATCTGGCTCAGGATAGCGACCAGTGGAGGGCTCTTGTGAACATGGTAATGAACCTTCAGGTTCCATAAAATGCTGGGAAATTCTTAAGTAGCTGCAGATTTGGCTTCTCCTCAAGAAGGGCTCAGCTCCATAAGTACATAAGTAATCACAGTGGTCTAGGATGGGGCATTTTAAATGTGGCATCAGCACTACATAAAAACATCATGATATGTAGCAAACTTTACAGCAGAATGTTACATTGTCTTAAAATTTACACAGAGTATTAACATGTATTATGAAATGCATAATTTTTATTTGCTTCTTTATACTGTATACACATCATGGAAGTTTTGAGACCACTGACATTCTCAAAGAACAAATTGTACCTTCACAAGTATAGCTTCAAGACTGCCAAGTGTGACCGACTACAAGGCTTAGTCTTTCTA